CACGAAGATGATCAGTCTCCGCTTCCCCCAGGGTGGATAGCTTCGTTGGCACAGGTACCACCATGGGCCTGTGCCCCCTACTGAAATTGCTTAGAAAATGAACATTTTTAAGCATCAAAGCACAAGCGAGGACCGTCCACACGCCCGCCCGCCCGCCCGCCCGGCCCCCCCCCCCGCCCGCCCGCCCGCCCGTAATAGGCAACCCCTGGGCTTCTCAAGGCGCCTGCGGCAACGCCGCGCCCTTGCGGAGCTCCCAGGTGCGGCGTGGCCAAGCCTTTCGGCTTTCGTTAAAGGAAGCTAGAGGTGGGGAGTTTAGGGTTTAGGGCTTAGGGTTTAGGGTTTTAGGGTTTAGGGTTTTAGGGTTTAGGGTTTAGGGTTTAGGGTTTAGTGCTTGTATAAGGCTTCTATAAGGTATATAGACCTTCTATAGGGCTCCTATAACGGTAACTACCCACCTGAAAATGTCCTAGATTTCGGTCAAGAGTATCCAAGAATCATTCCCGTGCTCATTTGACTTTGGTCGGCATCTTCTCCGTGTTTCTGCTATGTCTTGTAGAAGATAGTCTATGTGCCGTTTAGAAAACGGCGCCTTAGGGGCTGTTGTCTGTGCAAGTGCCACATCTCGGTGTGGGGGTTTGATCACTGTTGTTCCTGATCTTACCAATGAGCACTAGCTCGCTATTTTCTCATTGCTGATACTTTATCTTCAAGGGCCACGGGTAGCGTTCAGCAGATTTTAGATTTTGGGGGGTGCAGGTTCAGGGTATCCGGGCGGCGCCGGAGGTGTAAAAGGACTTGTAGTTTGTAGCAAGCTTTTTGCTCCTGGGTTGACATACTTGTGCTTCAATACGTCACCCTAAATTTAAACCCCTGCACCAAAGCCCTAACCCAAAGCTCTAAACCCTAAACCCTAAAAACCTTCCTCAAGCCTTCACCATGAGACCAAGAACTGCGCCGTAAACCCAGAGACTCCAACCTGTCCCCCTTAACTGAGGAGTGCACATGACAACTTGCTACTATAAAGTATAAGGTCTATTCCTTAATTAAGGGATCTTGATCAACTCCTAAACCCTAAACCCTAAACCCTAAACCCTAAACCCTAAACCCTAAAACCCTAAGTAAGGGATCCTGGAGTCTCTGGGAAGATTGATCTAAGATAGCCTGCCGCTTCGCAAGGAACTGTTGCCAGCCAGCCCTTCTCGAGACCTCGCAGAGCTTGAGCTTAGGGGCTGATAGGGTCTTGGGCTTTAGGGTTCAAGGTTTAGGGTTTAGGGGCTAAGGGTTTAGGGTTTAGGGTTTAGGGTTGAGTTTAGGGGTTGATAGGATTTAAGGCTTTAGGGTTCAAGGTTTAGGACTTTACGGTCCAGGGATTTTGGGTTTAGGACTTTCAGGTTTAGGGGTTAGGAGTTTCAGGTGAAGGGTTTGGGGCTTACGGGGGGTTTCGGGCACTGGGTTCAGGGTTTCGGGGTGGGGGGGGTGGGGGGGGGAGGGGTTTAGCGCCCCCAGGTTGTGGTGGGGCTTTTGTCAAGACTATCTGCTTTGTTGCCGTCGAAGCGCTGCAACTGCAAGGCTCTTGCGTGATACTATCATGGCTTACTTTTCAGCCGTGATATTATACCTTTCAATACCCTAAACGGTAAACCCTAAACCTTAAACCGTAAACCCTAAACCCTTAACCTTAAACCGTAAACCCTAAACCCTAGACCTTAAACCGTAAACCCTGAACTCTAAACCTTAAGCCGTAAACCCTAAACCCAAAACCCTAAACCCCCAATTTTCCAGGACCCTTCTGGCTCTTCTTGAGTCGGTTTGGGGCACTCGGATTCGACCCACTGGGCCATCGCCCAGTAGAGCCAGACTCTCTGGAGTAGTGGAGCGCCCAGAATTTAGGGTCTAGGGTTTAGGGTTTAGGATTTAGGGCTTAGGATTTGGGATTTAGGGTTTCGGATTTAGGGTTTAGGATTTGGGATTTAGGGTTTGGGATTTAAGGTTTAGGGTCCCAGAATGTCAAATTAGATGGCCTGGCCAGCTCAATATTGGAATACTCCGTGTTGAAACGATACTGCTTCAACACAAGTTCAAGAGGAGTACCTACAGTACTACTTCAGACAAGAAGTTCCGGAGGATTACCAACAAGAGGGTCCTACTCCACAGTCAGTTCAGACTCTCGTCCTGGCGCAGGACCTTCGAGCAGTTAGCGCTTTTTTGACACCTCTTTTCCTCCTTCCGGTATAGTCAGGTTTAGGGGTTGGGGTTCAGGTTTAGGGCTGGGGAGTTGGGTGACCTAGGGTTGTCTGGGCTTTCGATTACAGTATAGGATAAGAGACCGCAGGGTTTTTGGGTAGCCAGGTTTATGTGGAATGGGCTCTCAACTCACGCCTGCCAGCAAAAGTCAAGAAAGTGCAGATATGCTCGTGAAAAAGACTTTCAAGGACCATGTAGCCTTGAAATTTAGGGCGTCGCACGTTTTCTCTACACAACTCCTGAATGTGATTCTCAATTGCATGTCTGCGCTGTCTTGACTTTTGCTGGCAGCATGGCTTCAAAGCCCTATTTTTTCCTTTCCTCATAATCCTGGTTTCCCCAAACCCGAGCAGTGTCTTGACTTTTGCTGGCGGGGGTGGCTTCAAAGCCAATTGTTCAAACAAAGTTGGCGGCGCCAGAACGAAATCAGTCTTCCCCCCCACCCCCCCACTCCCCACCCCACTTCCCCAAGTAAAGTTAAATAAAGTCCGATCCTATTTTAAATTGAAGGCTTATTTGCAGTCGGACGCAGTGCCCTGGTTTAAGAGCGCTAGAACGGACATTCCGGGTCAATCTGCCCAGCCCCTTCGGTGCATGTCAAGCAGCGTGAACTTGCGCCAGTAGCGCCCGAATCCGAAAGCTGACATCTTCCTGCAGGGCTTCGAGGGAGTTTAGGGTATATAGGGCTTCTATAAGGCTTCTATAAAGTAAAGAAACCTTCTATAAGGCTCCAATAACGGTAACGTTGGTCACCAAGAAGTCTCGGCTATCTGGTGGGGGGTTGATGTCAGGCCCTTGCCGGGGGAGCAATCCTTAACCCAGTTAGAAGAGTCCTTGACACACGCCAGTCTTTAGAAGACTCTACGGCAACAGACTTCACCCCATAAAGCTATTCTGACATTTTTAAGGCCCATACAATAGCCAAAGTCTTCCAAGTGGCGTCGGCGGGGGAGGTGAAGGCACCCAACTCGCTCCAGTCCGCCTCCGCGTTGGAGAGAGAATTGATAAGTTCAAGGGCCTCATGCGTTCCTAATAATTATAATAGTGCCTCGGGGGAATATTGGTCCGGGGGATTTGAGGATTTATGTAGAGGATTGGATTTTGGGTATACGTGTTTCTAAATGCTCTTTACTGTTAAGCTTAGGCTTGAAGACGCTACCCTCTTGAACACCATGAAACCATAAACTCAGAGACGACCGAGGCGGACGACAGCTTTTGAAAGCGTTGCCTTTTCCCGGAAGACCTCTGCAATGTCGAGGGGCGTGGCATTCACCGCAATCCTGGGTGCGGCTTAGAAGTTAGGGCTGGGTAGGGTTTAGGGTTTAGGGTTTAGGGTTTAGGGTTTAGGATTTAGGGTTTAGAGTTTAGGGTTTAGGGTTTAGGGTTTAGGGTTTAGGGTTTAGGGTCTAGGGTTTAGGGTTAGGGCTGGGTAGGGGCGGAGATGCAAGAGTTGGAGGATAGTGCCAAGTAATGCAGAATTCCTGCTTTGTAAACCCTCTACCGTTTCTGGTCATTCTGCTGGGGCTCCGTCCATCACTTTTGGTCCTGGCAAGAATTCTCACTCCGGAGTATGCAGTAACTCTCGGATCTTACAAGTCTTGCAACCAAACCCTAAACCCTAAACCCTAAACCCTAAACCCTAAACCCTAAACCCTAAACCCTAAACCCCTTGTGCAACCCACCCAAAGCCGCAGGACATCCGAACACATAGCGACACTTGCTCCAAGGCGGGACCAGGAGGTATAGGGCCCCCAAAAAGCACATAAGCAAAAATTAGGATAGGGATATCCCATATAACCCCCCTTATAATGAAGCCCAACAAGGATGCCTTTAAAATGCTTATGCTTATGTCCTTTTTGGGTTCCTAAAGGTAAGTCATCCATAATCTGAAGGGCGTGACAGGGGAACCATGCCATCAAAAGTCTTCCGGGCATAGGGACAGGTTTCTGGACCCTTCCAGACACACCATCAAATCTGGTGCTTGCATCTATATAATGCAGACCCTGATCAACAAACACCCACTCCCTTAATGAGGATTATGGTAGGGATTCCACGATTAGGCACTTAAGGAAACTGGGTTTGTTCATGAGGTGTCTACATTGAGTCTACACATGAATCATCGATGGGCATCCGAGACCCTAAACTGAACCCTCAAACCTGGCCATGTTTGGCCCAGGTGCCTAAGGCCTAAACCCTGATTACCCCTAAACCCTAACCCTAAACCCTAAAGCCTAAACCCTTAAACCCTGGCCCTAAAGCCAAATGGCTCTGGGAAGCTAAATGGGGATTTCCAAAAATAGGGGACCCTGATATAATACCCTAAATAATAGGATCCTTATTATAAGGACCCCAAAATAAGGTACCCGAATTTTTGGAAATTGGGAGCTAGGATTAGGGGGACCCTTGGGGATATAGACCCTCTCAATAAGGTCCCTTTTAAGAGAGCCAAAAGTAGGGTTCAGAAGGGGTACCCCTTAAGGGGTACCCCTAATAATACTACCCTAAACCCTAAACCCCGTACCTTATTTTGGGGTCTTTATGATAAGGATCCTACTATTTAGGGTACTATATTAGGGTCCCCTATTTTAGGAAACCCCCAAATGCCTCCAAGAGGCGGCTTCAGCTCAGTCGGCAACACGGCCATCTCCTGCCGAGTGCCTTCAGGGAGATGAGGCGAAGGTGTAACGCCACAAAAGGGCCGTCGGGGTTTAGGGTTTAGGGTTT